AGGAAATAGACTTCCAGGAAATCCAGGAAGCTCAGAGAGTCCCAAAGAAGTTGGACCCAAGAAGGAACACACCAAGGCACATCATAATTACATTAGCCAAGATTAAAATGAAGGAGAGAATTCCAGAAGCAGCAAGAGATAAGGGGACAGTCACCTACAAAGGAGTCCCCATCAGACTGTCAGCTGATTTCTCAAAAGAGACCTTACAGGCAAGAAGGGGATGGAAAGAGGTATTCCAAGTCATGAAATCCAAAGACCTACATCCAAGATTGATTTTTCCAGCAAAGCTTTCATTTAGAATGGAAGGACAGATAAAGTGCTTCTCAGATAAGATCAAATTCACGGAGTTCATCATCACCAAGCCCTTATTATATGAGATGTTAAAGGGACTTACCTAAGAAAAAGAAGATAAAAAAAGATGAACAGTGAAAGGACAGCAAACTCACAGTTATTAACAACCACACCTAAAACAAAAGCAAACTAACAGGACAGCTAGATCAGGAGTGGAAACATAGAAATGAAGATCTCATGGAGGGTTAGCAACAGGGGGAGTGGGAGGAGGAGAAGGGGGAGAAGGTACAGAAAATAAGTAGCATAGACAGTAGACAGAAAATAGATGGGGGGCAAGAATAGCATGGGAAATATAGAATCTAAAGGACTTGAGACACATGGTCATAAACTAAAGGGGGGGTAATGGTGGGGATAGGGGGTAGGGTGGAGGGGAATGAAGGGGGGAATAGAATAACTAACAGCATAATCAATAAAAAATTTAAAAAAAAGAATGTGCTCTGTTCACATCCATTATCCTAGTTATTACTCTTATTTTATTTCCTAGTTATTACTCTTATTTTACAACAAATAAAGGGAAATTTACAGAGTTTAAGTAAATGTCCCAAGGTCACACAGCTAATAAGCATTAGAACAAGAAACTCGTGCTTTTAAATTTCTAAAACTCTATTCTGGCCCTTCACAGATCTTTTTTTTTAAAGATTTTTATTTATTTATCTTTAGAGGGGGAGAGAAGAAGAGAAATATCAATGTATGGTTGCCTCTTGTGAGTCCCCCACTGGAAACTGGCCTGCAACCCAGGCATGTGCCCTGACTGGGAATCGAACTGTGATCGTGTGGTTCACAGGCCCGCACTCAATCCACTGAGCTACACCAGCAAGGGCCCCTTCAGAGATATTAAGCTGTACTTTCCCTATACATTTTAGAGCATGACTTGTGTTATATTATAGTTCTTTGAATATTTGTCTTAACCTTCTTTCTACCACCATTAAGTTGTAAACTCCTTGAGGACAGACATCCCAGTCATTTAAAAAAATCTCTTCCCCTCCAAGATGCCTTGCATTGTGCTTGGTACAATATTATAAGTACTCCAGAAATGTATAATCTTAACTCAGTTAAAACTTTCAGTGCACTAGCTGTATATCCCATACCAGATGCCAAGCAACTTGCTTCTGCGACTGTCATGAAGGAAAGAGGCAAGTATGATTTGGGAGTTCGCTTAGCATTCCTGGTATCCCCTCTATCCTAGGATTCCTGAAGACTGTTTGGGGAGTACTGGTGGACTATCATACATTCTACCTCTAAATTTGACTGGACATAACTTCATTCTCCCTTTTTAAGAAACAAAACAGTCCTTCCACTGACTAAGATCCTTATAATAGAAAACACTGTGAAAGAAAGCACATATATGGGTCTTCTCTTAATAGTAATATGGAAACAAGGTTCAGATTCCTGTTTTACAAACTACAGTCAAGAAAAGGCAATCCCTGGAGAGGTATTGTCCAAGAGAGTTGATTTATGCAAATGCAGCCATTATTATGCTAAGTGAAATAAGTCAGGCGGTGAAAGACAAATACCATATGATCTCATCTATAAGTAGAACCTAATCAACAAAACAAACAAATGAGCAAAATATAACTAGAGGCATTGAAACAAGGAACAGACTGACAGTCACCAGAGGAGAAGGGGGAGGGGGATAATGAGGAATGAAGAGGAAGGGGCAAGATGAGGAAAATGAAAAGAGGATTCATGGAGGAAAGGCGGGACATCTGTAACTGAACAGTTAAAAATGAATTAAAGTTAAATAAAATGAAAAGTTCAGTTCCACAGTTATACTAGTCATATTTCAAGTACTTGATGGCCACATGTGGCCATTAGCTACTGCATTATACAGCACAAAATAGAGTATGTATTTCCATCATCACATAATTTTCTGGACAGCCCTTCTCTGGATTCAAACCCACATCTGACATTTACTAGGTGTGCCACTTACAAGGGGTATAAAACAAGTCACTTGATCTCTCTGAAACTGTTTCTGTACTGTAAATAGGAATGATAACACCTCCCCTCACACAACTTACAGGAAAGTGAGGAAAAGTAAATGAAATAATGTATGTTTAGGGTCTAGCATATATTAGATGCTAAATAAATGTTATCTTACTTCTTCTAATCCAACCAGGGATTTATATAAACTTGCCTGATAAATAGAATAAGAAAATTAGAGTATTGTGGCTTCTTTGTACTCAGACTACATCCTATTTACAGCTTGGAAGATATTAGCTTTGCATTCATTTTATAACTTTTCTTCCAGATGATACACAGAGATCAAGGTAAAACATTACTAGAGCAGTCAGTGATTGCTCTTTAATTGCACTTTTTTTATGAGAAGAGACTATATTTGTCACCACCTTGAACTTTCCAACATGAAAGAACCACATTTCCCCTTTACAACTGAAATACGTCCTCCAAAAGCTTTAATCAGTGCTTAGTTTCAGCTGGGTACTGTATTATTAGGACACTGCTGCTAACAGTGACACTAGAGCTGGAATGGAGAAGTACCATTTCTCTCTAAATCCATATTTTCCTATGCTCAGAAAAGTTCTCTGTGTTTTTTCCTGTGGGATTGATATATCCCAGGCTTGGTAAATGTGATTTGAGGAAAATCTGAACTAAATTTAAGGTGTTTGAGTTCCATGAGCAGAAAGCAAAATACATATTTCCAAATTCAAGAAAAAGAATGCTTCAGGACTCTTTTCCCTTGTGAAATTTGAGGCTTGGGAAACAAAGCAAAATCATATTCCTCAATGAAAACAAAGTTCAAAAAAAAGGTTTATTTGATAGAACTGTTCAAAGTGACATATGGTAGACAGGCAATATATCATTTCCCTTAGGACAAAGCCTGGCAGTCTTCAGAGGACCTGAGAAGAGAAAGTCTTATTTTCCTGTAGTTTAGCCCTGGGAACAGTTATAACAACTATTTTTCTCTCCCATCTTTGGGAGTGGGGGATTACAAAACTGGTTATTCATCAGTGCCTACTTTGTGCTACCTCTAGGCCATGCTGCAATTCCTGTTGACCAATTTTCTATTTGAATGACAGGTACAGGGCAGGTTCTTAACACACTGACCATTTGGTTATCTCTTTAATACTTGTATGAGAATGTGCCTAGAGGTATTGTATTATGGGTGTCTCTGTCTAAATAAAATAAATAATTGCAGATTTCAGAGCCTGAGGACAGAGAATTGTTCTGGTATTGACCTTGGAGTCTATCCTCAGATCTGTAATGAGGTCTTCCCTTCAGACTGATTTATTTCATAAAGCTGAGGTAATTATCAAAAGCAAGCACCGTTCTCCCTGCAGAAACCAGCCCACTGGTTTGGAAAACTAGCTAGTGAGCTGGATCTGGTCAGGAGCCTAAGCTGAGCCAGCCATTTCAGTAGGAACAGTTACTACACATAGAATACACCAAGATTATTAAAACAACAAACAGTAAATAAATGGTAAAGAAGGTTCAGCACTAATAATTTTACATAATATAAATGAGTAAAAATTGAAGTAGCACTCAGGTAAATTTGCATTTCAGTGCAGGATTCTCTGAATGGGAGAATAAGAGCTGGAACTCTTTGTTTTTGAAGAGTAAATTTTATTAATTAATGTGAGGATATATGCATCCTTTAAGACTGATGAACTGCACTGCATGGATAACATTTTGTATCTTTCCTTTTCCTCAAATGTACACAATAATTCACCAAATTTCCTTTCTCCATTCATTCAGCCTTCATTAACTATTTATCCAATCACTGTGGTACTATTTTAATTACCTTCTAATCAACCAATGATGAGTTTATGATTTAGCATTCCCTAAAGATAGAACTCCATAAATATAGTAAATCTTCATTTACTTGTTCACAAATTTTATCCTCCCTGTGTCTCCCACCCCATTAATTTTACTATATTGTATCATTAATGGTCTGGAGTTATGCTTTCTGCATTCCTCATCTTAGGTTCCCATTTGGACTAGGTTTTAGAGAATGTGTGATCAACAGCTCTGCTGTTGGCTGTGAAATTAAACACATAGAAGAAAACAGAGATTCCTGTAATATGCCAATGCGTCTTTGTAGATCCATACCTTACCTATAACAATTCCACTTCAGGAATATCAATACAGGGAATAGTCAAGTGATTGATTCTTTAGAGAGGTCCCTGGGCTGAACTAAAAACAACAAAGGGAAAAGCTAGGATCTACTCCTTGAGAAGACAACGTGACTGTTAAGAAAAAGCCTGCAGAAAGAATTAATATGTGTTTGAAACAAGTCACTATTGCCATTGTATAAAGGAATACATAGAATCTTAATTTTGCTCCAGTCTAGAGTCTAACTGAAGTATTCAATACATACTGGAATAAATGAACCATTGAAATAATATAAAAAACTAGTTTCTCTTCTTATTCATCTAATTCATTCAAACAATTCTGTGTGCCAGTCAATATGCTAGGCCTTCAGATTTCAGTACTTGATAAAATGGCTTCTTTTCTCAAAAGGATCACAACCAGAAAGGGAGGCAGATAAATACACAGAAAATCTGGCCCAAAGTATTGCATCAGCATCATCTCCTGCCACTTTGTCCAAATTCCCTTTGTTTCATTTGTAACATCTCAAATTCTTCAAATATGCTATACTTTTTCAAAGTCTCTGCACTATTTAAATTTATCGTATGCTCACTTCAGCAGCACATTCACCAAAATTAGAACAATACAGAGAAGATTAGCATGGCTTTTGTGCAAGGATGACATGCAAATTTGTGAAGTGTTATATATTTTTTCAGTATTTCACCATGGAATATGATGCATTTATTATTTTCCTCCCTCCTTCCCCTCCATTTTCTCTTTCACCCTCTCCTCACTCCCCTTCTTTTCTCCATTCCTCTCCCCCCCCCGCCCACCTTCTCCTCTTCCACCAGTTCTTCCTCCTTGCTTCCTGAGAGCCTCTGTTTTGCATTAGTTGGGGGCCACAGCTGGAGGTGAGGGAGGGGGCCCTGTGGACTGCCCTCTTCCCCAGCTGCACCACCACCCAATGTCTGAGCATCTCAGGCCTCGAGGGAGCCCAGCTCTCTGTCCCACCAGGATCCGTGGTGAGTGTGGGCTGTGGCAGCTGCGGCCCCATGAGGAGGGAAGGAAGATGCCAGCTGAGCTGCTGTTGATTGTTGCCTTTGCCAGCCCCAGCTGCCAGGTGCTCATCACTGTGCATGGCTGCAATCCTGGATGGCCAGACAGTGTGTGTTGCGGCAACCATCTGGCCCTGGCCTTGGCCCAGGAGCAGATCAACAGGATCATTGAGGTCCCAGCCAAGGCCTGAGTGGAAATAGACATCTTTGAGCTGCAGTAGGACAGCCAGTATGAGATTACAGACACCATGTGTTGGATTCTGCCCAAGGGAGTCATGTCTGTCCTGGGGCCTTCCTCCAGCCCTGCATCTGCTTCCACCATGGGCCATTGTGGGGAGAAGGAAATCCCCTACATAAAGGTGGATCCCAAGGAGATGCCTCACCTTCAGTACATTTGCTTCACGTCTGTCAACCTGAGCCTCAGTAATGAGGACATAAGCCTGGCAGTCTCCAGAATCCTCAAGTCCTTCAACTACCCCTTAGGCAGCCTCATCAGTGCCAAGGCCAAGTGCCTACTGCAGTTGGAGGAGCCGGTATGAGGCATCCTCATCTCCAAGGAGATGTTATCAGTAAAGATGCTGGAAGACAGCCAGGATCCCAAGTTGCTGCTCAAGGAGGTCCATGATGACAAGGTGTCCACCATTATCACTGATGCCAATGCCTCCGTCTTCCACCTCATCCTCCATAAGACCTCAGAGCTGGGAATGACCTCTTCATTTTACAAGTACAACCTCACCTCTATGGACCTCTCCATCCTGAACCTGGATGGGATGATGGAGGACTCCTAGAATATCCTGGGCAGCTCCATCTTCAACGCCTCGCACCCCTTCTATCCTGAGTTTGTGCACAGCCTCAGCATGCCCTGGAGGGAGAACCGTGAAGCCAGCACCTACCCAGGGCCTGTGCTGTTGGCTGCCCTAATGTTCAATGCTGTGCACATGGTGGTAAGTGCCTTCTAGAAGCTAAACCGCAAACAGGAGATTGGTGTGAAGCTGCTGGCCTATACATGGGCCACCATTTTGGCCCCATGGGACCAGTCTCATGAACTACTTGCATATGGTAGAGTATGATGGACTGACTGGGTGGGTTGAATTCAACAGCAAAGGACAGAGGACCAATTACACCCTATGCATCTTAGAGAAGTCCTGGCAGGGCCACCATGACATTGGGGTGTAGTACTCTAACCAGGCCCTGGCCATGAAAGCCACCACCCTGGGCATCAACCTGTTGCAGGCACTGGCAAACAAGATGCTGGTGGTCACAAACATTTTGAAAAACTTTTAAGTCATGCACTGGCCCAACTTCCAGGTCCTGTTGGGAAATGAGCACTTTGAGGGCTTCTACATGGACATGCTGCAGGAGCTGGCTGAACTGTTGCACTTCCGCTACTGCCTGTGGCTGGTGGAGGACAGGCTGTACAGAGTGCCTGAGCCCAGCAGCTCCTGGAAGAGCATGGTCAATGAGCTCATCAACCAGAAGGCAGACCTGGCTATGGTTGCATTCACCATTACTGTTGAGCAGGAAAAGGTCACTGGGACTTCTTCAAACCCTTCATGACCCTGGGAATCAGCATCCTCTACCGAGTGCACATGGGGCATGAGCCAAATATTTCTCCTTCCTGGACCCCACCTCCCTTGCTGTGTGGATCTTCATGCTTCTTGCCTACCTGGCTGCCAAGCTGAGCCCCTGTGAGTTGTATAACGCACACCTGTGCCTGCGGGTGTGCCCCCCCCACATCCTGGAGAACCAGTATACACTGGGCAACATCCTCTGGTTGCCTGTCGGTGGCTTCATGCAGCAGGGCTCAGAGATCATGTCCCAGGTGCTGTCCACTCACTACATCTGAAAACTGGAGAGATCTGGTGGCACTCGGCTGGCATTTCTACCTGGCGTTGATGTCTGTTACTTTGGCCTCGGTCCCCTCTTCCCTTCAGTTGTGTTCTGGCCTAGCCTCCATAAGAACTCAGATTTGATACCTGTCTTTCAAGTAGCCTCTGGGCTTCATTGCAGTTCACATAACCCTTCTCACCTCTTTTCCCTCATTAGAACCACATAAAACTGAGGAGAATGCTTAGGAAATGGAATGTTCTACTGGTTTGATTAGGAGACAGGCCTAGAGAGAGGGAGTGATTTCATATAAAGCATGCATTTGCCTAGAGTCAGGGCAGGGCCAAGCTGGGCTCCTGCCCCAGCACCACTAGCCAGCCCTCCCCACTGCCTGAGCCAAGCCCTGTACCCTGGCCCATGATGACTTTTTCCAGGACAATCCCAGGCATCAAGCCTTCTCAAGGAGCACTTCTTCCTCACCTCCTCTTGTCAGTCAGAATTCTCACATCAACAGTCACTCAGCAGATGCTGTGCTGGCCCCTCCAAGTGCAAGGCACTCAGGTGAAGAATCAGCTCTCAAGAGGCAGAGGAATCAAGAATAAATGAGTAAACAGATACATAAACACAAGGGACACCATATTTTATGTGAAGAACACGTGCCAAAAATATTGTTTAATTTGAGACTAACCATAATGGTGGCAGGTTTTTCTTTCTCCCAATTTAGACAGACTAACTGCCATGTGGCATTGTTTGCAATTCACTTGGTCTACTGGTTTAAAAAAAATATGATGCAGTTATGGGTTTTTCATGAATACCCTTCTTGGGCTTTCTCTGGTTGCTTTATTTTAGTTTTTTTTTCTCTTGTCAAGCCTGTACAGAATCACTGGTTACAAAGAATCACTGAATGCTGGTAGTGGAAAGGACCTAAAGTTTATAGCCCAAATCTGCCATTATACAAATAGACATGAGGCCCAGAGATGCCACAGGTCTTATCCAAGTTTACTAGGGTTGTTAAAGGCAGAGCTTGGACCAGTAATAATAATAATAACTATGATTTTAGTAACTTAATGTCAATTATTATGCTAAATAACATTATCTCATTTATTCTTCATAATAACCCTGTAAGGTAGGTACCATAATTTTCATCTAATAAATGAGGAAGCTGAAGCTTGGAGAGTTTGAAACTTGTTCAAGGTCATACAGCTATTAAATTGATCATCTGGTGAGCCTGGCTGATCTTGTTATGTCAGAAAGTAAGGCAACTTTCAAATGCTTATAAAAGCTTGTCAGATGGAATAAACCAGCTTGAAGGGTAAGTTATACTGGAGAAATGTATAATAACATGAGCATCAAAAATATTTAATGGAATTGGTTGAAGTACTTAGAATTAATAATGATATATTATAAATCCATAGTTCTATGCAAATAATAATAAAACAACAAACTCATTTGTTACCAGAGGTAGTGGGTATAACATTAACTGTGAAAAATGGTAATTTTTCTCTTACTTTGAAAATAGGTTATTAAAGGGAAGTAATTAAGCATTTATCCCACATTTTCATTAGGAACTATTATCAGGACAAACAAATAAAACTTGTTGATGAAAAAAGTCATATTTATAGAGGGATGCCAGATAATAAATGTAGAGAAATAATAAAATTAGAAAATCAATTTACAACCCTTTAATGAAATAGTTGATTTAGGCAAAGATCAACAAAAGATGCTAAAACCATTTGGTGAAAGATTGATGGAAAATTGGTGTTTTACCTGTTTGCAAAATTTCACCTCACAGATTACTTGCTAAACATGAGAAGGAAATTTAATTTTACAATTCTAGGATTAGGCTATCCAAAGGATCCATCTTAGCTTTGCAAATATTGGGAGAACTAGGTTCATGTGCCTTCTAAAATAATGAGACAGGAAGTAACCAGCACCACCTAAGAAGTATTTTTCTGCCCCGAAAATTTAACTTCTAGTTAAAAGGAAGTCAAAGGGATGGAGAAATAATTCCACTGTTCTATGAGGAAATAAGCAGACAAATCCAGAAGGTGGGCTTTGGCAATAGAATGGCAAAACAGTTAAAGATTGAAGAGACACACAATAGAATGCAAATGAACAAATAACCTATAAAGACATTTGGGGGACAGTTGGAAAATCTTGAATAAATTGTGGATACTAGATTATATAATTGTAAAATTATTGTTAGTATCATCAGAGATGATGTTATTGTCATCATATAAAGAAGTGTCCTTAAGTTTTAGTGATGCCTGCTGAAATACTTAGGGTGAAATATCATGTCTGTATTTACTTCGCAATCTCTTGACAATAAGATCAGCATGGCAAATATAGCAAATGTTAACATTGTTAAGTCTAGTTGATTGGTATGTGGATACGAAATATTTGACTTGCTCCATTTTTCTTCTTGTTGAAAAATTATATTATAAAAATTGGGAGGAAGCATTCTAGGTAAAGAAGGTGTTCTTGTTTGCCCTTAGACGCATAAAGAACAAATTTCAAGGAAAGTCCAAGAATGGGAGGTCAAGTCACAAGGCACAGTCAGCAGTACCTTTCCAAAGTGATTAGCAGGGAAGGGGGCTGGGCTAAGAATTCTGCACCTAGGATAAAATGCCACCACAACTGCTTTGCTCTGGGTTACCCTAAAAATTCTTAGTGGAGGATCTAGAGAAAAGTGGCTTGAAATGATGGAAGATGCCCTGTGCAGAGAGGAGGACACCAAACATCTATAGTGGTTGGGACAATGAAATGGGAGTAGTGGCCAGAAAACTGGAGTTTCCCTGTGGCAACTTCATTCAGCCCAACAAGCCAAGGA